CAATGGTGTGATGATAGTTAGTGATTATAGCAGTTAATATTACGTTTAAGCTTAGTGGTGTGATGATAGTTAGTGATTATAGCAGTTAATATTACGTTTAAGCTTAGTGTTGTGATGATTTAAAACTTTTGCTCCCATACATATGCACATAGACGAACACACACACACACACACACACACACACACACACACACACAGTAGAAGGAACGGTACTTATATCAATCTAGGAAGAAGAAACAGAGCAAACTGCACCACCAACCACGTTAATAACTCTCACTAGATTACAATAGTTACCGTAGCAGCATTAAAGATAACTCATAATTACAATAGTTACCGTAGCAGCATTAAAGATAACTCATAATTACAATAGTTACCGTAGCAGCATTAAAGATAACTCATAATTACAATAGTTACCGTAGCAGCATTAAAGATAGCTCACAATTACAATAGTTACCGTAGCAGCATTAAAGCTAACTCATAATTACAATAGTTACCGTAGCAGCATTAAAGATAACTCACAATTACAATAGTTACCGTAGCAGCATTAAAGATAACTCATAATTACAATAGTTACCGTAGCAGCATGATAGTAGGTGTACAACCCAACCAGCGCCTGACCCATAATAACTTAGACAAGGACTCAGTAGCACGGATCTCCAGAGAGCGTGAGTCACTTGGGGTCTGCAACATTACTACACAATTGCTCCTGCTGCCTATTTGCGAAACTTACAGCAACACACTTGAGCCTATAAGTTCCCAAACTTGTACAATTTCTCCTAGAGTCCATTTAAACTGTTACCGTAAAACCTTTGTCCTATAATTATACAAAGTATTGAACTGCGCTGTTTTACTTATTTGTGCATTTTTTTTGGGGGGGGGGGGCCACTGGGTAAGCGTAAGGTGTGGTGCCCTGGAGTAAGGATAACGTGTGGTGCCCTGGAGTAAGGACAACGTGTGGTGCCCTGGAGTAAGGATAACGTGTAGTGCCCTGGAGTAAGGATAACGTGTGGTGCCCTGGAGTAAGGACAACGTGTGGTGCCCTGGAGTAAGGATAACGTGTAGTGCCCTAGACTAAGCATAATGAATAGTGCCCATGTTATGTATGTATATCACACACCCCTAAATACTGCTCAAGTATCCCCTCGCTCAGAGCAGTTCAGACGTCACCTAACTGAGCCCTGCACCACCTACAGGCAGCCTTCTTACAATAGTCTCGGGGGATAATGTACTGAATATCGTCACGAGAACCCACCACCCTGGAGTAAGCATAAGGTGTGGTAGTCTGGAGTAAAGCATAGGGTGTGGTAGTCTGGAGTAAAGCATAGGGTGTGGTAGTCTGGAGTAAAGCATAGGGTGTGGTAGTCTGGAGAAAACATAAGGTGAGGTGCCCTGAAGCAAGCATAGAGCAGCACCCTAGAAATAAACATAAGATGAGGTGTTCCAAGGTAAGCATATGTCACGAGGCCCCAAGCTAGCATAACAGGTGAGACGGAGAACCAAACATAAGATATTACCATTATGATCTTCCGTCGTTTAGAATCAATGATGTTTTTAAAGAAGCTTCGTTGGGTGTTCTCAGTGTAGGGAAGGAGAGAGAGAGAGAGAAGGGGGGCAGAGAGAGGTGGAGATTACAATAACAAGAAAGAGAGAGAGAGACAGAGAGAGAGACAGAGAGAGAGGTGGAGATTACAATAATAAGAAAGAAAGAGAGAGAGAGAGAGACAGAGAGAGAGCAAACAAGAAGACTTTTGATGGGTTAAGATGGTCGCTCATCTAATTTGCATATATAAGGAATTTAAGTAGCTCAGAGTGAGTTATATATGTTCCTGACGGCTATATGGATACTAGGGGAAGTGTGTGTGTGTGTGTGTGTGTGTGTGTGTGTGTGTGTGTGTGTGAGTGATTGAGCTACGTCTTATCTCGTGGTAATAAGTTAATGTTTAATAATTACATGTAAAGGACTCAACACCAGTAGCAAATTAGGTGGTAAAAATGTCCTTCTGTTATTAGTGACTTTTGTTAATGTTAAGGTGTTGGTAATATGAGTGTGGTAAAATACTTGTGTTTTGTTTTATATATGTGTGGGGTGGATGGGTGTGTGTCTGTGTGGGGTAGGGATAGGGAAGGGGTGTGTGTTGGAGGGGTGTGTGTGGAGGAGGGGAGGAGTGTGGGGGGAAAGATGGGTGAGTGTGGGGGAAAGGAGGGGTAGGGAGGGGTGTGTGTGTGTGTGTGTGTGTATTCCCTATGTGTTTTTATATGTGTGTGTGTGTGTGTGAGCAGATCCAAAAAAATTAGAAGCATATTTTTACTGTATAAATATGCACATGATAAATAAAAGTAACTCCAATTGGTCACACACACACACACACACACACACACACACACACACACACACATCGTTGCTAACTTGGAATTCAGTCAAATCCAAAGCTTCACAAAAATGAACCAAAAACTCACACATTTAGCTAGTTTCACCATCTTGAGCTGGCAGAGGAAAGCAAAGTTGGACACAGTTCCGAAACTTGTGAAGCACTTTGGAAACTTCTCACTGTATTTGACGTGAGATCTTTCTTTTCTGGAGCACCTTATTTGTATCTCTGATTCTGACGGAGTTATAACAAAGTATTATAAAAGCTAAGAGGGAAAAAGTTACACAATTAGAGTTGGTCGGAGCGACGACACGACACAGGGACGTAATATTGGAAACCTTTCTCTGTTTTGTGCAGGAGTTAGTTTCTATTAGGCCACAGGTCTGGAAGTTTGAATCAGCAGAGTTCTGGAACACCTCGCCACAAACAGCAGAGTGCTGGAACAACACCACCACCACCAGTAGAGTCCTGGAATACCTCTATTTTAACAGCAGAGTCCTGGAACACCTCGCCAAAAACATCAGAGTCTTGGAACACCTCACAACCACCACCAGTAGAGTTATGGAACACCTCGCTGCAACCACCAGTAGAGTCCTGGAACACCTCAACACCACCATCAGACACCTGGAACACCTCAGCACCACCATCAGACACCAGGAACACCTCAGCACCACCACCAGACACCTGGAACACCTCAGCACCACCATCAGACACCTGGAACACCTCACCCCCACCATCAGACACCAGGAACACCTCAGCACCACCATCAGACACCTGGAACACCTCAGCACCACCATCAGACACCAGGAACACCTCAGCACCACCATCAGACACCTGGAACACCTCAGCACCACCATCAGACACCACACCTCAGCACCACCATCAGACACCAGGAACACCTCAGCACCACCATCAGACACCTGGAACACCTCAGCACCACCATCAGACACCTGGCACCACCATCAGACACCAGGAACACCTCAGCACCACCATCAGACACCTGAACACCTCAGCACCACCATCAGACACCTGGAACACCTCAGCACCACCATCAGACACCTGGAACACCTCAGCACCACCATCAGACACCTGGGAACACCTCAGCACCACCATCAGACACCTGGAACACCTCAGCACCACCATCAGACACCTGGAACACCTCAGCACCACCATCAGACACCTGGAACACCTCAGCACCACCATCAGACACCAGGAACACCTCAGCAGCCAGGAATAGAGATCTTTACTGTCACCCCGCTGAACTGGAGGTCCTTAACGTTGGTCTCAGGGAGTGGAATCAATACAAAGTAGATTTTAATGTGTAGTAGTGAGCGCTTGGTGGTGGTTATATTGTCTACAGATTATATTAATTAGATAATCGATATTTTTATGTTAGATAATTTTTTTTTACTTTTATTAAAACAAATACAAATAAAATCAATAAGTGAAACGCCTTCCTTTATACTTGAAATAATTGTGGTACCATACCTACAAATAGCTTTTGTTTCTACACTGAACTGAATATGAATATATTTAGAGAATTAGGAAGTACTTGTTGTTCAATGCTGATGATGTTATTATGATCACAGATTTTAAATGATTAATAGAAATATTAATGACATAATTAAGGGCAGGAGAGCCAGAGGGAGGCAGAGATTGGAATGGACAAATGAAATTAAAAGCTGTCCTCCCCAGAGAGACGCAAAATTTGAAATGATTGGTTAAAAACAGCTCGAAAATGTCTAGAGTGGATGACTGTGGTCGCCAGCCCTCAGAAATATATAATGCGCTTTTGCTGATTGAGTGAATTAAATGTATCATATTCATAGCCACAGTATTAAAATGTCTTGGGATACGACTAGCTCTCACTGGTACATTTTCCGATGATGATGTCTTTCTAATAAATAAGAACTCGAGGTTTCATTCACACAAGACTCAGTTAAAACAGGAATTACGTTTCAACTCTAACCTTTGACCTGAGTATCTAACTATAAATTTACACTCCTAAAACTGCTGTGAGTCACCAAGGGGAAGCAGAGTGTGATAATTAGGGACACAGCTGTTGGAGTACATGTGGAGTTGTCCATGTGGAGTGACCGACTGAATGACACAGCCCGTCGACCTCACCCACCAAGAGGGGAGAAAAATATATACTGTAGTTATGTGCTGAGCTCCTCTTATCCTGATGCAAAATTCAATGCGAACAATAAACAAATGGTAACTTTTTTTATACTGACAATAATTTTCTTGTTACGACTTCCAGCAGAACAATACAACACTTCCGGCCCGGATACCCGACCTCAAGTACTGTGTTTATGTTTCTGGAATATTTATACACAAACGACATCAAAGATTGAAGGTTTTTTTATGTCTGGTATATTTATAGTTATAAAACTGTGTATTGGATGTTGTGATATTCTAAGATAATGGTCGAAGATGACTACTGATGAACGAACTACGACCATCTGTCGACTTACCAATAATAAACAATACTCATGATGGTCTACTAAACCACAAGCGTTCCATAATAGCTCAATTCGACTAACATTTGAAGATTTTTATTAATTTTCGTACACGAGAGATTTCCCATTGAATACTTCTGCTTTCTTCCTGTTCAAAAAATTATCTTACCTTGAACGAGGAACACCATGGCCAGCATCCATGAGTGTGACCACCGCCTCCTGGTCACCATGGTTCCTCCCTCTGTTCTTCTTACAATATACTCTGGAGAATTTTCTGTAAAATGCTTGAATGACGTCTTCAGTACGACACTCCCAAGAGATTATCTATAAATCTCTTAGTTAATGGTAGAAGTCGTTTGGATTTTTATGGATACTTTCTTACGTGTCTGTTGGGGCGCTTTAAACCTCTAGAGATTTCCTGGAAGCCTTTTTTGGTTGCCGTTGTGAAGCCTTTGTGAGACCTGGGATTTTTTGGAAGTATCAGGAAGACTTTAGGAAACTTGAAACTCTACGCGACAACCCTAAGTTCATCTGCTAGAGGTGTGAAGATATATCCTGGAAACACGACTGGAACCTCGGTGTGACCACATTCCTCCTCCCCAAAGTTTGTTTGTTTACATACGCTCCCACGGTGGGTGAAGCCTGGCTGGTTCAGGTTCGTTAAGCGCTGTAAAGTTTAATTTCACTGTTTTTTTTTTCGGAACGTTTACATCGATGACCTATAAATCATAAAATATATAGTATATTTGATAGTTTTTGAGTCCTTAGGTCATGTTTCAAAAACTTTTATAGCACGGAGTTACTCATTAACTTTTCATTATAAATATTGCTCTATCAGTAGAGTATATTTTCTAACTTGAATCTGTAATCAAGTCGAGGCAGTCTGAGTAACCCACATTGACTGTCATCCAAGAAGAAATGTTAAAGTGATTGTCATGGACGGTGGAGGGGCCGCGTCCGCTGGTCCAGGTCAGAGCAGAGCGACACACGATCCTCCTCCTGCCGCCTACAGCGTGTTACTGACGACTGACTCTCCTCACCACCAGGCACTCCTGAGTGCCACGCGCGGGTGTCACCACCAGGCACTCCTGGGTGCTACTAGTTGGTGCCACGACTAGGCAATCCTTAGTCCCACAGCTAAGCATCTCCGTATGACACTATTACTCACTCATGGACGTCATCATCCGTCTCTCGTCACTGCCACATGTTGTTGCCGACACCAATTACTCCTACAGTAGGAGCCATGCGCTAGTTCCCGTCACCATGTACGTCCAACTGCCACCACTAAGCACCTGTGGGTGCCACATTCACTCAGACCTAGTTGTCACCACCAGGAACACCTGGGTACCTGGCACAGGTGCCCCCATCAGACCACTCCTAGGTGCCACGTATACTGGAAGTGTGCCCACTACGCACTCTTGGTTGTCATGCAGAGATGTCATCACTAGACACTCCTGAGTTCACCAGGCGCACACCGTGGCCCTAACACTGTACAAATGGGTGTATTAGCATGTGTTTGTGTGTCTATGTATGTGTCTCCACCAAATGCTGTGTGTGTGTGTGTGTGTGTGTGAGTGTGTGTGTGTGTGTGTGAGTGTGTGTGTGTGTGTGTGTGTGTGTGTGTGTGTGTGTGTGTGTGTGTGTGTGTGTGTGTGTGTGTGTGTGTGTGTGTGTGTGTGTGTGTGTGTGTGTGTGTGTGTGTGTGTGTGTGTGTGTGTGTGTGTGTGTGTGTGTGTGTGTGTTTCACCACCAGATACTCTATAATAATTAGCAATAATAATTAACCGTTTATTGAACAAATTTCAGCAGACCTGAAGGCTAAAAATATAGTGGACAGAAATGACTTAATACATAAGAACATAAGAATGGAGGACACTACAGCGGGCCTTTTGGCCTATACTGGGCAGCCCCGTTTACACCCAACCCCTTTCGCTCATATATCTGCCCAACCTATATTTGAAGCTACCCAGCATGTTCGAGTTAATGATGGTGTTTGGCAACGTCTTCTACTCATCCACTACTCTTTTTCCAAACCAATGTTTACTTATCTCGAGCCTAAATCTAAATTTTTCTTCTGTAATTTAAAACCAATCCTACGAGTTCATTCCTGGGTGGATAATTTAAGTACTTTTGCTGTATCACCTTTGCTTAACCCTGACTTCCATTTCTACACTTCGATCATATCGCCCCTCACTCTACGTCTCTCTAGGAAATACAAATTAAGATGCTTTAACCTGCCTCTGTACTCAAGGTTCCTAATGCCCGGGATTAGTCTCGTCATCCTCCTCTTAAGCTCAGCCTTCAGGGAAGCACAGTGCTGCTCCCAGTTAGTAGACATGGTAACACTGCCTGGTAATCCCAGGAGCTAACTTGACATGGGAGGGGGTGTTTAACAAAAGCTTTCATTAGAAAAAAGAAAGGGAGCAAACAGTGAACATACAGATCAATGTTTACAGTGGAGGTCACGTAGATCATGTGAGCTGAGGTGTTGAACAGCAGACACGTGGTGTATTAACTCCCTCTCAGATGGTGTTATGAGGGACCTGACGTGGTGTAGTAATTCCCTCACAGATGGTGTTATGAGGGGCCTGACGTGGTGTAGTAATTCCCTCACAGATGGTGTCATGAGGCACTCCTGGGTGCCACCACCACACACTCCTGGGTGCCACCACCACACACTCCTGGGTGCTATTACTACACACTCCTAGGTGCCACCACCACACACTCCTGCTCCTGGGTGCCAAAACTAAATAGGTAGTTAATTAATCAAGATGAATGAAAGTTGTGAGTAATGCGCCTCGTTTTCTGTTAAATGCATTGTTCTACCTGGAGGCACTGAAGTAAAATCTTACCCACTCATTATCTTCCTCGCTGAATATAAAACTGTGTAAGTTTTAGTGAAAGTCTAGATCATTTCTTTGTCATTCGCATGTGACTGGAATTATGTTTTCGAGTGTTCTCAATGTGATTTCCATTTTCTATTAGCGTTTCAGTGATTTTTATAGAGTTTTTATTTGTACCCGATGGAAACGGTGGACCATGAGGTGTTGAAATAGACTTTGGCTTGACAAACAGAATGGCTATTTCTCTCCTTATGTTTTGATTACATTATAAACTAAATATTTTCTTGTATCTGAATATATTGTTATTATTGTTGAAGCTTCTTTTGATTACCTATAAAATCTAGATTATTATTCAAAGGGGAAAGGGGGGGGGGGTATATGTGTTGACCCACCTCTGAGGTGCCCTTTTGTGGTACAGTAAGTAGACTTGCTACACCTATGTTAACGATATCCTAACTTAACTAAACTTAACCTAACTTAACATACCTGCCCCTCTCCCTCCCTGCCTCCTTCCACCCCTCCCTTGTTCCGCTTCTCCTTCCCTCCCTCCCTTCTTACCCTTCCTTCAATCCCTTTCTCCCACACTCCCTCATCTTTCCTTTCATCCATCCTTAACTCCGTGCCTTCCTTTCCTTCTATCCTTCCCTTCCCCTTCTCTCCCTCCATCCTTCCCGCCTATTCTCTCAACCAGGGGATTATAACTTATCCCCCATTGTCTGTAGCGCCATCATTGTTGGGCTTCTATGAAAAAAAATTATTTATAAATATTTTCTTTGTTTAAGGATAATCACCATATTACAGCATAAGCTACAGCGAGGGCCTCTGGTGTCAAATAGGGATAACTTTTTTGTTTATTATTGTCAAAAACTTCATGGAATTTAGTTTATTTACAGGGGGATTAAATCTATACTACGTAAAACACCTGTTGATGGCTTAATGTAATTAGATTTTGCATACGTAAGGTGAGATAAAGTTAGGTTGGTTAGGTTAAGTTAGATAAAGTTAAGGTTAGGTTAAGTTAGGTTAGGACATAGAACTTTACTATGTACTGAGTGCAAATGAGGATACAGCTTTATTCTATCAGCTATCTTGCCATTAGAGATGAAGTGCTCTGACTTTTCATACAGTGTGGTGGGATCTGTCCATAAAAGTTTCTATTTTTTCACAGTCCAAGACGTAGTGTTGGGGTGTGTAGCTCTTATGTCTGGCCGCACACTTTACATTTCGTTTTGATCACATCTACCTAGAGGATCCCATTCTACCTACGAGGCATTAAAGTGTTGACAATAATATTGGACATCATAATATATAATGCTCTTTCATCTCCAGAGTTCCATGCTCTCCTCACCTGTTGATATATCATTCAACTGTCCATTAATTTAACCAATCATACAACTGCGAATAAACATACAGCCAATAAGAACAGTGATTCATAAAAGGGAGTTTTTGGCTTGGCATTACTAGACTAAGCAGTGAAACAAGCATAACTACCCACCCACCTGCATTTGGGTAAACTCCTCCCACTGATGATGTCATTTTCCATAGCCAACCCTACAACCCTCTCCTCTTGGCCAAGCTGTTCTCTTATTGGTTGAATATTCCCACGTCGTTGTTTTATTGGTTAAATTTACGATCAGTTCAGTATTTTGTCAATAGATGGCGGGTGAATGTACAGTATTTGCGAGAGAGAACAGCGTCTTATGAGGCGTGTTATATATTTATTATGACACATCTCTCACAGCATTGTTCACAATAGATTTATTTTTCTTGAGAAACATCTGAGTAAAACTGACGAATACGAACAGAAAGGAATAGAGTCATTGGTGGTGTATACAGTTGTGTTTGGTCATAGACGAAATAAATTGAAACGTGGGAAATTTTTATAAATGCAAATGTGGTTCAGGGCATTGTGGCCCCCATGTGGTGAGCCAGTGACCTTCACCTCAGAGATCAATAGTGATATAAATTACCATAAGTCGGGTGACACATATCTATATAGCCTTCGACCTTGACCTTTGGCTCATGTTAAACGAAAAAGTTATTTGTTTTTTCTTCAGGATTCGACCACTACAGGTTATAACTCGACCACTACAGGTTATAACTCGACCACTACAGGTTATAACTCGACCACTACAGGTTATAACTCGACCACTACAAGTAAAATAATAATAGTAACTCATCAACTAACTGTACTAGGGTGAGGAGCCAACCCACTCCGACTGCTGCCATTTTCAACGTTGTGACCTTGACCTATGACATACTGTAGGCCCTACTCTTGACCTTTTACCTATTGTGACCTAAAACTTTGACCTGTTGTGTACTTGACCTTTGACCTATTATGACCTTAAAATTTTACCTGTTGCGATCTTAAACTTTGACCTATGTACACACACACACGCACACACACACACACACACACACACACACACACACACACACACACATACTCTTAAGATGTTCTGTAAAATTTGGAGGAACAAGTGACCTCATCTAATCTAATTTAATCTAATTTAATCTAATATAATCAATCTAATCTAACTTAGCCTACCCTAACTTACCCTAACAAAGTCCAAAGAAAGATTGAACACTTCGGATGGCTGTGTGTTTGTTTCAGGAGGTCGAAAAACGTGGTTTATGTAAAATTGTGCGTGATTGCGAGATTTCTGTGTGTGTGTGTGTGTGTGTGTGTGTGTGTGTGTGTGTGTGTGTGTGTGTGTGTGTGTAGCTGAGAAATAACCCTAGACCGTTTCTTTCTCGTCTGAATATAATGTAAGGGATCACGTGAAGATTAGGCATCCTATATCATTTCACCTGATGATTAAACAACCTAACCTAACACAAACCCAACCTAAACTAACGTAAATCTAACCTAAACTAACCTAACGCAAACTTGACCTAACCTAACCTATAGCTGAGGTGTCTAAATTTTCCCGTGATCTGATACAAGACAGCACAAGGTAGTCACAGCACCGTCAAACAGCGAGTACAGGTCAAAAACACTGAGACAGCTTCACAGGTCATCTTCAGTATGTCCAGAAAAGAATGAAAATCGTCCAAGTGTGATCATACGTCAGATAAGGATGAGTCTTCGCTTCCAGTATGAAGGCAATCAGGCCATCAGTGATAGAGACAGCTATTGGATATAACCGATGTTGAGATAAGAAAAACAGCCTAAGAAAATACCGCCTCTGCTGTTCCTATAGTGGCCAAGGCATATAAAAAAGTTATCTGCCTGTGAGTGTTTGGTACCACAGAGGCGAAG